GCCTGGGGGGGTTGGGTTGGGTGCCCATCCCCTGTCCCCACTGCAGCGCTGCACGGGGCAAGTGTCTGTGAGCATCTGACATTGATTTCCTCATTAGAAAGAAACTCAAACTACAGGAGTTTGTGTCTCTGGATGGCACTTCATCAATCTTTTGGGGTTTAATTATTCTTCAATAAATAAATGAGTAGAATAATAACCAGCATGATAAGCATGTGTTAGTCATCCAGGCCCTGGAAAAGAGTTCAGCTCCGTTGAATCTGGATGCCAGGGAGTGACTCGGAGTTGATATAACTGGGATCATGGATGTGCCGAGCTCCCTGCATAGTTCTTCCAGGCTGGATGTGCCTGGCAGTGCGAGGGTCCCTGCCAAGCCCCAGCACAAGGTCTCAGAGCCAGGCAGCTCGTGGGGGCTGTGGAGCATCACTGCTGCGAGGATCCCTGTGCCATCAGGGCTTGGGTCCAGATCCAGTGTCACCTCCAGATTCACAGTGTGATGTGCATGGCAGTGACAAGCACCAGTTACCCACCAATAACCCTGGACATGGAAATAGCCCCAGCAAAAACATCTGGCTGGAGAGCAGGAGCACTGGCAATAACCTCCCACCATCTCTCCTCTTGCAGGGTCTGACAGGAGCGAAAGGGGAGCCAGGGCCTGTCGGTGGGCCAGGACTCAAAGTGAGTGAGGGGCTGCGGGGGGGCAGATGCTCAGGGGTCCCACATTCCCCTGGGACCAGCCCTGTCCCCGTGGAGGGGTTGCACCCCTGCAGGAATTGGGTGAATTTAGCAACAAGGGAGCACTGAGGCTGGGTGCAGGGAGGGGTGAAGTTGAGCAGCTGACACAGCAATGGAGCAGGGCTTGGTGGGGTCAGACCCCCCCCATTTCAGCTCCTGACTCTCCCCTTCTGTCCTGGCAGGGCCAGCCCGGACTCCCAGGGCCACCGGGGCTCCCCGTGAGTATCTGCCTCTCCCATGGGTGCTGGTGATGCACCCGCTCCTGGCTCTGGCACCAGCTCCCTGAGCACCCACGAGCAGGGTGGGAGCAGAGCAGGGATCCAGCTCCAGCCCCTCCATCCACATCCTTGCTGGTGGCATGGGCATTGCCCTGCTGGGGGCAAGGATGCTGGTGGTTTCAAGGAGGGGTTGGAGAATTTGGACCAACTGTGTCTTCTCCTTGCAGGGCCCTTCGCTGCCAGGACCACCTGTAAGTGCTGCACTTGTGGGGCTGTGGGTGGCTGGGGACCCCGCTCAGGGTTGTGCTGGAAGAGCTCAAATCTCAGCACCCCCAAAGTGGGGGGGTCTCAGAGCTTGTCCTCTCTCACTCAGTGAATGTCTTTCTTCTTAAGGGGCTTCCAGGCCAAGTTGGGCTTCCTGGAGAGATCGGGACGCTGGGACCTAAGGTGAGGGGTCAGGAGGGGATGCAGGAAAACCTCTTCTCCTTACCCCAATGTCCTCTTCTCTGCACTTCGGGGCTCCTGGGGTAAACAGGGACAACTTTGTAATATGGGCGAGCATGGTTCCATGGCAGGGACAGAGATGATGGACTCTGTGCCTGCAGCCAGGTCCCCCAGCACCATCCATCCCCTCCCTGCTCATGGCTATGGGGATGCTCAAGTTCCCACTGTGACAGGCTGGGTCTCTGGTGTTTCATCACCCCTCTCCACCCCAGCTCCAGCAGTCCCTGTTGTCTCCCCACCCCTAAATCTCCTTTCCCGGGGTTGTTTTTTCCTAGGGTGACCCTGGACCTGATGGCCCGCAGGGTCCTCCAGGCCCTCCAGGAAAACCC